TTTTGACTTCATATGCTTGGTGAGATTCCCTAAATAAAACAGGGGTTATTTTTCTATCCCAATCTTTTGCAATCATGCTTGAATGTGAATGTGGTAAAGCCAACCTTTAGTTTTGAAAGCAAAGTTGCAGCACTTGCAGATGTATGGCCTCACATCCATGTGCGTTCGAATGTGTTTCTTGAGCATGCTTGGCTTCTTACAACGAATACCACACTCTTCACATATATACTTTCCCCGACCACGGCCTCTCACGTACACATATTCCTCATTGGACTTATAACTGATAAAGAAAAAACAACCAGAACTTTTTCATTTCGATGCGTTGCTACAGTCACATATGAACATCAGCATGATCAAATTACATATTCATACCCTCCTTCAAAAATCTTCACACGGACTGGCTCTGCTTGCTGTATGGTGGACGCCACATCTTCTCGTAAATATTTGCACCTCTGGCTAATGTCTCTTTGCCTCACATCTTGCTTTGTATCTTCCTCTCTGTAGTCCAGCGTTACCTGCAATAGTGCAACAGACCTTATGGAACAGATGGCTAAATAACGTACAGGTAAATATAGCACAGCAGCAAGTGGCAAATCAGCTAAAACCAACAACAGATAACATACTTGTTCTTGCTTCGGTCTCCAGGGGGTGGAGGTCACTAGTAGTCCAGGTTGATACATGCTAGCGATTGAATAAATAGCATCCTGCCTCCTCTGTTTGGATCGGAGAAGAGCAAGAACCATCCCAGTGCTAAGATCAGGTGGGTTAGGGTTACGGCATTTCACAAACCACGAGGCATACTCTGAAAAATTTGCAGCTATTTGGGTACTATTTGGCTTAGTGGAGTTGAGATAGCACCAGCTCACACAAGTAGTAGTGTGAAGACCTGGAAACTTGGAGAACAGTAAAGCACCAGTGATTGCCGAGTGCACTGTACCTATACCAGAACCAGGACGATTACTAGCCATCATGAGTTCAGATGTTGGTTTTTGTTCCATCATAGCAGCATCTTGAGGAATTCTGGCAGGAGATTGTAACTCTGGATTGCTGTAAAAGTCTTGGCTGGGCTCGTCCATATCTACCTCCTCAGTGGGCTCACATGTCTCTGGGGTGCTTCCTGATTTGAAAGCTTTCTTGGGACTTTCTTTTTCACCTTCAAGATTTCCTAACTCCACAGCACTAAGCTCTTCAACAATCTGTCCATAAATGTTCTCATCTTTGACTCGTTTCTGCTGCTTCGCTTCAATGAAAAGTTCAATGCTACTTGCAGGTGAGAGCATGCGCTTGTTTGCTCCACCACTGGGGGCCTCTGTAGTTGAGATGGTTTTGGAGGTCAAGGATAGAGGTATGCCTGTATTTACCTTTGCTGGTGATGCCTGTGGGCTGCGCAGTAGTCGCCTAGGGTGCCCTGATACTGGAGATAGTTCACAACCTGTGTTATTTGGTGGCATGACTATGGCAAGACTTTGACAGGGGGAGGATGTTTTGTGTTCTATGTACGACATAGGATTCTGTGTTTGAGAATCCAGAATATGAGATATACTAGTGTATGTTACGTTCCCATAAGATGGTACTTGCATCTGAATTCTAACAGGAACTAGCAAAGCGGACATACTTTGACTGACTAATGCTTGCTGAGCTTGCGAAAGCACTGCTATCGTTGACAAAACATTGCCTAAAGTCCGGGAACAATCTTCTTGGGGGTTCCTTAAGCTAATATAAGATTCAGCTACCTTGGATTCTTCAGGTTCCTTCTTTATAAAACGCATTACGCTATCCATGTCATGAACATTGCAAACATTGGGTTTAGCATACTGAGATGAGTCTTGCACTGGGCTATATTGTTTGTGTTGGGGAGAAGGACCACCAGAAATCAAAGAATAACTCATTTTCTCAATGGATCCCTCAAGTGTAAATGGTTTGCTTGGTGAGGTTGATCTCTTGCTCATTTTTTCTGAGACTGTGCCACCTTGCATCTCGGGTTCACCACTTAATGATGCCTGCCTAATCAAGAAGGCCCTTCTACGCTCTTTAACCTCGTCTTGCCTAGATGTAGATGAAGGAGAAAGACTACCATAATCGAAAGACTTGCTTCGATATCCTGGAACCTCTGAGGGTAAATTATAAGGTGCTTGCTCTGAAGCAGAACGTCTCATCTCTCGGTGATGACTATGTGAACTTCCTGGTACAGATAAGAACTCCAACGGCTTATTAAACTCATCTGGGTTGGTTTGAGACACAAGGTTAATGGTCTCCTCTCTGTCGAGGGACTGGGAAAAACTTGAGCTGTGAGACAAATTGCTATCTTGACTTGGGCTTCTTGAGAGACTTGTGCAAGCAGATTCAAAACTAGATTCCCCAGAAGAACATTCCATCTCTGCTAATCTCAACCGTTTCTTTTTGGGTGGTAGCTTTTCCATTGGAAACTGTGATAGGGTCTCACTCCTCTGTGGCCACTGGAACTCTTCAGCATGCTTTTCTCTTTGCTTGACCCCTACTTCTGGAACTTTTTCTAGCCTGTCAGGCTCCACGGTTACTCTAATCTCTGGAACTTGGATACTAGGCTGAGATGTTGGCTGCTTACTCATATGAAGTTTCTGGTGCAGAAAACCACTGCATCTCCATTGGCAGTCTGCTCCTTCTGTTCTGTGACCCTCCATGCTATGCTCCTTTTCCATGAATTTGTAAATGCCAATTTTGTCTAAGGGATATGATCTAACATCACTTGACTTTTCTGAAGAGTTTAGTCGGTTTAATGAATTTGTGTGCTGAATGACAGAGATAATATTGCTGCCAGCCCTTCTCTCAGTGTCAGAAAAGGCAGTATCTAAAGTAGTTGGCTTTGTCTCAGTGTCCTCTGAGTGTCCAGAAGGCTTGTCTTGCACATGAAAGTCATCTTCCTCCATGACATTTTTGTCCTTTCTTCGTTTCCTTGTGGAAGTTTCTGATAAATGGCTTGGAAAAATGGAACACAACTCAGTTTCTTGATAGTTTTCAGCACCCATTTTTGCATAATCTACGCCATGAATTTTCAAGTCTGATTTTAAGCTACAAGCCAGATGAGCGTAGCAGTCTGATTCAGCGTGTCCTTCGGTAGCGGAGTGCTCAAACGCAGCTTGCCGCATGAGTCTTCTCATGCCCATTGCGCCCCGGTAGGTGGCATCATCACCTGTCATTCTCTCATCAAATGAGTTACTGCTTCTTAGCCCTTCTGGGGCATTCAGATTCGAATTAGATGAGGTTGGAAGAGAATTACTGCGCAAGAATACACTACTCTCTGAAGCCGTTTCCAGAAGGTCAGAGCTAGAGATTTGACATTCTTGGTAATCTTCCTCTTGGAAGGACTCTGAATCAATTTTTATTGATCGCACTAGGTCTTTTTTGCTTCTGTGAATGGATGAGTCAGTGTCACCTGGCATTATGCCTTTGTTCAATGTAATCATGAAGCTAGATGTGGCTTCATTTATGTCTGTCATGCAGGTTTGTACAGTGATTGATTGTTTTGGCCTGGTTGTTGGCCTATAACATTTCCCAAACATAATTTCTTGATACGATTTGGCACTTGCGCTCGACTGGTTGAACTGTTGCTCAGCACTCTCAGACCGCGAGAAGTATCCTGAATCAGTGCTGCCTTTACTGTATGAACTAGGCAGGGAAAGAGATTGATCAGAGTCTTGATTTTTCTTCTCCGAAAGCCGAAGTACCAGTCTTTGCTTGATGGTGGAGAACTCAACCATTTGGTCCACCTGAGCAATAGCCGCAGGTGCTGTCATTTCCCGGAATTGCCATAAAGATACTTTTCCTAATGACCCCGTTTCCTTTTTGAGTGAAGTTTGAGCAGATAAAGTGGTGTCCTTTTTTGCCAATATACTCCCTTTTTCTTGCACAAAACCCTCTGTTTCTTTGACATGGCTTACTGTATCCGAGGACAAGTCTTCCACAACTTCTTCATCGGTGTCACTGCTCTGCTCAGCATCAGAATGCATCTCGCCTTCTGCCACCGCCAACTCCTCATCCATATGCTTACTGTCTTGTTCTGAAAATGAAACCAATCCTGCTTTCACTGCATGGCTGTGAGATTTTCTGTGTTTGTACAGGTTGCTCTTAGTTTTAAAGGAGAAACCACAAGGAATACACGGATATGGTCGTTCGCCAGTATGAGAACGGATGTGCTTCTTCAGTACACTGGGTTTGGCACAAGCTCTGCCACAATACTGGCATACATACTTCCCAGTCTTAACCGACTTCTGCTCCTTTTTGAGAAGGCCCTCTGACAGAAGCTCATATTCCGATTGAAGATATCGTTTGTTTGGGAGAGAAACGTTCTTCCTCCTGAGCTGGATGTGACACTGTTCTCTAGATTTTGAGGTAAGAATATTTCCTGAAGCAAGGACCTGTGACTCCATACCAGGAGATGGACGTACAGCTGGGGTCTGGGGTTGCTCCGCAAGTTTTATTTTGTCCTCTGTGCCAGAGGATTGGCCTCTTTGGGTCATCTCGGATGGCAAGTGTTTTTCGTCATCTTTGAAACCAATAATCTGTTTGGAACATTCCGCATCACCTGAGGTTTTAGCAGCCTCCATGATAAGGATTTGCTATCTACAGTTGCTACATTGCCCTTGGTTTTGTCACAATGAACATCGTCTTGCTTCGATGAAAGTTTCTCTTTTAACGTGGAGGGTTAATTCTTCAGTGCTTTAAACAGTTCCCTGTGGTTGTACAGCAGTCAGTCCAACGGCATCATTTTCAAAATTATGAAATAATAACTTCCATATGTTCAGTCAATGCATGTTCAGTCAAGTTTTTTATACATGGTCTCCATCCCTATATACATTTAAGCCTGGGCACCAAATCCAAATTGTCTGCAAACAGAAAAATCACATGTTGTCAGTAAACAAATTCAAAATGTTTTAAGCATAGAACAATAACTTGAAGAGTATAATAAAATGCTGCTAATTATTTAAGTAGAAAAGCCATGCATCTTCACGCCCATATTCCGATTGAAGATATCGTTTGTTTGGGAGAGAAACGTTCTTCCTCCTGAGCTGGATGTGACACTGTTCTCTAGATTTTGAGGTAAGAATATTTCCTGAAGCAAGGACCTGTGACTCCATACCAGGAGATGGACGTACAGCTGGGGTCTGGGGTTGCTCCGCAAGTTTTATTTTGTCCTCTGTGCCAGAGGATTGGCCTCTTTGGGTCATCTCGGATGGCAAGTGTTTTTCGTCATCTTTGAAACCAATAATCTGTTTGGAACATTCCGCATCACCTGAGGTTTTAGCAGCCTCCATGATAAGGATTTGCTATCTACAGTTGCTACATTGCCCTTGGTTTTGTCACAATGAACATCGTCTTGCTTCGATGAAAGTTTCTCTTTTAACGTGGAGGGTTAATTCTTCAGTGCTTTAAACAGTTCCCTGTGGTTGTACAGCAGTCAGTCCAACGGCATCATTTTCAAAATTATGAAATAATAACTTCCATATGTTCAGTCAATGCATGTTCAGTCAAGTTTTTTATACATGGTCTCCATCCCTATATACATTTAAGCCTGGGCACCAAATCCAAATTGTCTGCAAACAGAAAAATCACATGTTGTCAGTAAACAAATTCAAAATGTTTTAAGCATAGAACAATAACTTGAAGAGTATAATAAAATGCTGCTAATTATTTAAGTAGAAAAGCCATGCATCTTCACGCCAAAATGGCCCATAAACTCACCATGCCCTGAGTAGAGTGTTTCTGAAGGCAGTGTGCCAGCACCATCTCTTTGTCTTTCTGAGGTTTGTGATTGATGTGAAGGTCATCTCAAACTGTAAGGTCAGGAATCCCTCCATTAGAGAATTAACCAAACTACAAGTACAGCAAGTACATGGCTGTGCAAGCATAATGAGGGGGGAGGGGAGGAAAGACAATGCAATTTATCTCTGTAACACTATCATTCATTCTGCACTCTAATCTCTATTTGGAATGTTTTTGCTATTCAAAGGAAAACTCTTGCATTTAAAAAAAATTAAATAAAATTATATATATATATATATATATATGTTAGTGCTAATCCTGAAATATGAATGAAGATCAACTGAATTATATAGACTACCATTCAAAAGTTTGGAGTCATCACATTTAAAAAAAAAAAATAATAATAATACTTTTATTTGGAAGGATGTAACACTATCATTCATTCTGCACTCTAATCTCTATTTGGAATGTTTTTGCTATTCAAAGGAAAACTCTTGCATTTAAAAAAAATTAAATAAAATTATATATATATATATATATATATGTTAGTGCTAATCCTGAAATATGAATGAAGATCAACTGAATTATATAGACTACCATTCAAAAGTTTGGAGTCATCACATTTAATAAAAAAAAATAATAATAATACTTTTATTTTGCAAGGATGCATTAAATTGAAAGTGGCAGTAAGACATTTACGATGTTACAAAAGATTTCTATTCATTCAAGAATCCTGAAAAAAATTTTATCATGATTTCTACAAAAATTTTAAAAAGCACAACTGTTTTCAACATTGATAATAATAAAAAAATGTTTCTTGAGCACCAAATCAGCATATTAGAATGATTTCTGAAGGATCATGTGAGACTGAAGACTGGAGTAATGATGCTGAAAATTCAGCTTTGCCATGACCTGAATAAACTATATTTTAAAATACATTAAAATATAACAGTTATTTGAAATGGTAATCTTTCACAATGTTATCTTTTACTGTATTTTTGATTAAATAAAACATCCTTGGTGAGCTTTTAAGACTTCTTTCAAAAACATTCAAATAACCCAAGTTATTGAATCTTGTTTCATCTTCAGAAGAACAATAAATCACATTCACACTTATTTTTTTCTTATTGCATTACAAAAGTTACAAAATGAAGAAACACTTGTTGAATCTGCACACACACAAAAAAACAGTAAAATACAAGGGCAAATTCTTCTAAATGATTTCATACTGGGTATCTGCCACTGAAAAACCTCAACTAAACAAATAACAGTAACATGTTAGGTACTGTACCTTGTAAAGTAAAGTACCCTGTAAAGAGAGTCTAAAGACTAGTGAATGAACCACTGCATCTACATCCGTTATGCAACACAAATGTGTGACCAATTACATTACAGTTTAAATGTTATTGGTCAAATAAGTCAAAAAGTAGTGCCACAATATTAAACAATAATATTGCAACTTACACCACCTCTGCCTACACTCATGTGCAAATATAATTACCATCTGCATACATCAGAGTTTGTATAATGAGGTTACATAAGGTTATCTGGTTCAAACCCCTTAACTAGGACATTCAAACTCACAAGCAATCAGAGAAGAAATATCAATCTCCGCCAGGCTATAAAATCTAAAACCAAATCTTGACATGGTCTACAATGAAGTCAAATGTTTCCCACGGGTCGAGTTAGTATCTAAACAGCCTGTCTGTCAGGAGATAGCGACCAGAGGAGAGAGTTGATGTAGGAATGACAAAACACACAGCGATCACATGTGCTTTTTTCAAGGTCAATCTCAATCCTGCGCTGTCCTCAACACATTGGAGGAGAAATATGGTGGATAAACCTGCCAGAGGCTAAATGCACCTTTAAAAACTGGGCTGACAAGTTAAGTGTGTCAGCGGTGTTCGGTATTCAGACACGAGGCAATAATCGCATCAAATCTGTCATGTAAGTAACATGATGCGATTTCACCGTTTAAGAACAACATCGAAAGTCTGCAAGTGTCCAAGTTTGACCTTCGATCATCTGTTGGATGACCAAGACAAGCATCTGCGTTAACGCATCTACAACAACAACCGACGCAACATGTCAAAGCCAGAGGCGGGAAAATGTAACCAGACTCGAGAGAATGTCATTACGTCATGTATCAGCCCCCCTTGGCATCACTACTCGGCGGGATGCCTGGCATCTCATGAAATACAGCTGTGTTGCATCTTAAAACTACAGAAGGAACAAAATGTCCACAGAAGAGCTTCAAAAAAGCAGAGCAGTCAAGGACTGACTTTGGCGAGTCACCTGCTTTTGAGTCCCAGTAAGACATACAACACAGTGATTGCCATCAATCTACAAACCTGGTGTCCAAATTCAGCCTTGTCCAATGTCTCCAGTCAAATACAGCTGTTCTCATAATTCCTGCTTCCCGTATTGCTGTACATCACCTTCAAAAAAAGACAAATGTGCCAGGAATAAGTCTCAACAGTCATCCATGTCTTCCTCAATGAGAGTACATTAGAAGAGCTACAGATGTAAGCGAGTCGCCACAGAAAATACCTCATTGAGATGGGTATCCAGGAACAAAAATAGAAAAGGGGCCCTGCGAAGGGTTATGCAACGTCCCACATTCGAGGCCACTTTGGCATCAGCGCAGGGAGAAGTGAATGGCCATGCTGCTTGTGAAAATGAGTTGGAATCGGGAAGGTTTAGATTAGAATAAAGCATAAAACCTAAACTGCACTGAAATAAAAGATTCAAGCTGTGTATAGGATTGCGATATACAGCAGAAATAGCAAGTAGTGTGCTAATATGCTATTCCGAACACAGCGTTAGACTGAAAATCCTGATAGCTCACATATTAGTCATGTTTAGCTCATGGGTGTGATAAATTATCAGCAGTATCTTAAAAGCAACATGAAATCATAACTAACATTTAAGATACATGTTACTGGCTTTATTTTACATGATTTAGTGATGCACATTATTCCAGAACAAAGTTTGTGCTTTCATCAAAACATAATCAGGCGCCACTTTTTCAGCAGGGCTGGTTCCGGAAGTATTTTTCCCATAGGGCTTTTTAGAAAGTCTTAGTTTGAGAGTTATAAGCCACGAATCAAACCAAACTGCTACGAGGAGAATCACAACATAAACTTTGGTTTGAAGCAAAAAATATATGAAAATTCAGACAAAAGTCAAAGACTCTGAGCTTAACGGCTTTAATGAGGAGATTAAGTACAGTCCCATTAAGCATTGCAAATGACAGAATCAAATAAAAACAATGAAGTATAAAATAATTGATTTACAGATGTTGATTTTATATTGAAACAACGTATTGTAGTTTTGCTTTGTTTTTTATTTTTAAAAGTGATTTGAGAGCTTATGTCATTCACAATTCTTCAAGTGGGCGGTTCTTTTGCTTGCCGTGATTCTCTGATTGGTGGAGATTTCTTTGCAGAATCATGGGTATTGTAGTTTTTCACAGGAATTAAGATGTTTAATGATTATTGTAAAAAATAACTTGGCTTCGGCATAAGCATATATCATTGATTAACAATCTCAGAGCTCACAGTAACTCTCTTTAAATAACTGCAAGATTTTATTTTGTCAAATCTTGAATCTTAATAATTGGCTTGCATTGTAAAAAATGATTTTCTTCCTCAGTATTTTGCCTTGTTTTCCAGTACAAATATCACATTCTTAAATCAAGATGCATTTAGCACATATGACAGATATTAAGTCATGTTTTATAAAAAATTAGTTCGGGCTTAAATCAAGGAAAAAATACTTGCCAATTGGGTAAGAAAAGTTTTTTTTATAAAGAATAAGTATTTTTTTTCATACTTTATTGGCAGACATTTCTCTTTTTATAAGCTTAAATGCACTTCATTCTGATATTTTTTTTTTTATTTTGAAGCAAAACGACAAGATTAAGATTAAGATCGATATTAAGTGGTTTTAAGCTAAAAACATGAATGTTAAATCAAATCTTGAGTCTTAACTTACACTTCAGAAAATGATTTTCTTAGTATTGTTGACTTTTTTCCAGTACAAATATCTAAACATTCTGAAATCAAGATGCATTTTCTTAAGAAGCAAAATTACAAACTTTTCTTGAAAATTTATGTAAATGTGTCTTGATTTAAGAATGTAATGTATAGATATCTGTATGGGAAAACAAGACAAAATACTTGCTAAGAAAGTCATATTTTGCACTGTATGGTTGTCATCTGGTGGACAATAAAACAAGGCTAAGAAATCCCATAGACTCGCATTGAAGAAAGGAACCAAGTTATAGAAAAGTCCCGTCAGAAACAGCACAGAGACACCCAAGCAGTAGTGCAGCATGTTTTGCACAGGCAACTACCACTCTGCGCTTGAATAATGATATTTTGCTGAGTCAGGAAAGCTGTGTGGACGTCTAGTTTATCATATGTTCTAGTACAGAAGCAGTCCTGGAGATCAGTTTATTTACTTTCACAGAATGCAGTAATGCATCATAGTGACACGAGCAGCCAGCGGCGGAGGAACGTTTGCACGCTAATCAAATCACATGCAAATGTGCAGATTTCCACTGGTCAGCAAACGCGTGTGCCTTAGACAGTGGAAAAGCCGAGCAGCGGTACGGAGCACCCGCTGGGACAGACCATCATATTTATAGAGAGACGAGAGACTTGACCTTCAATGCTTGTGGATGATCAGCCATTTCAGGGCCTTTCCACAGTATACTGAATGCAGAATACAGAAAGCTGCAGACAGTGCCTTGTGCTCTATATATATATATACGGCTTGTCTGTGCATGTCAGAGAATCAAATCACATGCAAATGTGCAGATTTCCACTGGTCAGCAAACGCGTGTGCCTTAGACAGTGGAAAAGCCGAGCAGCGGTACGGAGCACCCGCTGGGACAGACCATCATATTTATAGAGAGACGAGAGACTTGACCTTCAATGCTTGTGGATGATCAGCCATTTCAGGGCCTTTCCACAGTATACTTAATGCAGAATACAGAAAGCTGCAGACAGTGCCTTGTGCTCTATATATATATATATATACGGCTTGTCTGTGCATGTCAGAGTCTGTTATGGGAGTCATAAACCAGAGGATTGACCCCCGTGTTTACTTCACCATTAGTTTGCATTATTGTGCTTGTTAACTATGCCAGTGTTTTGGTTGAACTGGACTTTTAGCTTAAAGTTCAAAGGTGTTCATATACTATACAATGCCATTAAATATGTTGGGATTGGTAACAAACATTTTTCATGATTTTTCAGATGATTTGAAAGTTCACCAAGGCTGCATTTATTGGTAAAAAAAACCCAGTAAAAACAGTAATACTGAGAAATATTATTACAATTTAAAATAATTGTTTTCCATTTGAATGTGTTTTGAATGTGAATGAGTCAAAGCTGAATTTTCAGCATCATTACTCTAGTCTAGTCTAGAAATCATTCTAATATGCTGATATGCCGATTTATATTTATTATCAATGATGAAAACAGATGTGCTGCTTAATATCTTTTTGGAAACTATAATTCATATTTTTCAGGATTCCTTGATGAATAGAAAGTTCAGAGGAACAGAATTTATTTGAAATCTTTTGTAATAGTATGAATATCATTACTGTCACTTTTGAACAATTTAATGCATCCTTGTTGAAAAAAAAATTCATTTAAAAAAAAATGTATATATACTGTATATATGATTTATTTCGTACACCATAATACTTACATATTTAAAAATCTAATATCCTGTTATTAACTGACTAATCATCATGATTATCTAGTATGTGCAGATTCCTGTTAGACATGTTTGATAATGGCACTTAAAGTGTGCCATATGCAAATGGCCTTGATCTGGAATATTACTGTAAATGCCACTCACCACGCATGTGCGGTGCAGAAATGAGGAATGTTCCCATGGCAACCAAACGACTATTCCTGCTGCGTTCACGTTCTTTGTCTCACATAAGTGGATATTGAATAGGCCAACAGGCATCCTCAAGTAACCCTCCTGCACCTGTGACATCACATGCTTCGCTAGAGCCCCTTACATACAATCACTGCACACAACAGATGGGATTCAGGAAAATCACATGCATCTTTTACAGGTAACCTACAAATGTGTTCAGTTTGATATAAAGAACATTTTTTATTATTTGTACTGTAGAAAAAGATCTCTAAAGGGATTGTTCACCTAAAAATGAAAATTGTATCTATATTTATTTCCATGTAGTTCTAAACCTGTATGCTGCTATATTTTCTATGGAACACCAAAGTAAAAATTTTGAAGAATGTTCAATATTTTGTGCGCTTCAGTTCTCACTGTGCATCTTTCCCACTCGTTCTCCGACTAGAGAAGGTCACGAGCTTCAGATTTAAAATAAATGCCTTCAGTTTCTCAGTGTTAGATGAACAGTGTTCTCTGATCACCATGGCAACACATTCTAAGTGCTATTTCACAGTGAAAACTAACAATGAATAAGCTTCAATTCAAGTGTGTGGGAAAGACTATCACTAGGACTACATACATCATCACGATCAGAAGCATTATAACATGTCTGGCTAGAGTTAACGCTTGCCCAAACATGCCCATACAAGCTCTGCTGACCAATGCCAACTCCAGTTACCAGTATATATAATACATACCCAAAATTCACTATTAATATAGATAAACACAAAATCCAAAGGTGGCCTGTAGATTTCGGACAGTTTTGGCTTATACTACACTCTTAAAAATAGAGAGTTTTAACATCAGTTTCACAGAAGAACCATTTTGCATTCCCCAAAGAACCTTTCAGTAAATAGTTCTTAAAAGTAGTTCTTTGTGGAATGGGAATGTTCCATGGATTTTAAAGGGATAGTTCTCCCAAAAATGAACATTCTGTCATAATTTACTCACCCTAATGTTGTTCCAAAGCAATAATGAATTTCTTTCTTTTGTTGAACACAAAAGAAGATATTTTGAAGAATGCTGGTAACCAAAAAAGCTGTCACTGGGCCGGTACCTTTTCAAAAGATACACCTTTGTACCTAAATGGTCCCTATTGGTACCTTAAAGGAACATTAGTGTACATAATAATACCTAAAACATACAGTGTACCTTTCGAAAAGGTACCGCCCCAGTGACCGGTTTTGAACCTTTTTTTTTTTTTTTTTTCAGAGTGCATAATTTGAAAAAAAAACTTATGGAAGTTAATGGCTAACAGCAACTTTTTGGTTATCAACATTCTTCAAAATATCTTCTTTTTTGTTTAACAGAAGAAAGAAATTCATACAAGTTTGGAACAAGGGTAAGAATTTTAATTTTGGGGTGAATTATCCCTTTAAAGGTTCAACAATTCCAATGAAGAACCCTTAATTTTAAGAATGCAACCAGCTCAAAATTGCTACATGGTGCTCAATTAATCACACTTTGGGGCAAAATGTTGGTTTAAAGACAACTGTGAGAGAGATATTCACAAAAAAAGATCCAATACTCCATGAAAACCTTAAAGGGGTCATATGATGCTGCTAAAAAGAACATTATTTTGTGTATTTTGGTTTAA